GATGAGTGGAATAGAACTGAACTAAACTGAACTGAATTGAATTGTAACTGTAAATATTTTAAATATATATTTGTATACTCTAAATAGAATCCAAACATAATAAAATTAATTCAATAAAAATTTAAATTTGATGAATTTGAATCGAAGCGATCATAAATCTTTTTAACACTGGAATTAYTTTACAAACAGGTTTAGATTCATTCTAATCTGTAAAAACTTTAAATCTTTCAAAACTCAAGTTAAAAAACTGGACATTTTGGAATTTTTCCCTCCGCAGGCGTGGCTCCAATCTGTCGCTGCTATTGGACGTAAGCACTTTGGGGGCGGAGACTGTTTGTTCAGTCTCCACCCCTAAGGAGGTGTGGCTTCAGTTGTTACACACCTCCTCTCGCCCGTTGACACACGCCCAGCTACAGGAAGCTGCGACGGACACAAACACGCTGAACGCAGAGTATCAGGTACGTTTCTGATGTATTGTTTATTTAAAACATATTTCTTGTTATTTTTAAGTTATTTTACACAGTAGGAGCCTTCCATACAGTGTATATATATGTATATATAAACAAATCACCTCAGTAACTGGGTGTAATCCTGAAAGGTGCGTTTGTTTTTATCACCCAGTGTGTCCCTCTGTCTTCATCAGAAAATCCCTCCGAACTTTGTGAACCCTGCAGAACTGGACATTCCTGGACACACCATGAAAGACAGATATAAAACCATCCTCCCCAGTAAGAGTGCAGATGTATCCTCTGCAGAAACGTTGTTGTTGTTGTTTTTATTTACTTATTGTTTTTGTTGTTTCCACTTTAGACCCGGAGAGTCGGGTGATCCTGCAGAACCCAGAGGAAGAATCAGAACCGAACCGCTACATCAACGCCAACTACATCAGGGTGAGAATCTGATGTAGTTTCAGTCTTCAGAAAAATTAATGAGTGAAATGATCTAATCTAAATCTCAATCTGAAACTGGTTAAATGTTAAATAAGTAAAAAACATGTCTGACTTTCAGATTCATTTCCAACTAAGAACATCTTTTTGATTTTAGTAACCTCCTCTAACCATCACAGCAAACCAACAACACCTGAAATACTGATCAAATTATTCAATATTATTTAAAGTCAATAAGTCATGGAGCAAGGCTCCCTGACACATTACAGTATGGATTTTATAGGACCATTTGCAGGTTTGAAATGACAAGTTATTGGAAAAAATTGTAAAATTACACTACAAACGTTGTGGCTTCCTGGTAAATAAAATAAATTAAATGTTTAGTTTTTAATGGCAGCAAAACAGCAATAATTGCATCTTTGCTGCACGCTGGAATTCAACATCAAACTGCTGGCTATGTTTGAGTTGATTCGAAAGTTTTAGATGAAATTAGTTTGATAAATATGGAACTAAATGGAAATTTTAGAAGTCTGAACACTCGTCCTTGTGGAACTCCTGCTGAACAAAAACAATGCTTTTCCCACCATGCTGGTTCATAATGAGTCAAATCTTACGCAATGTGTCCATAACTTGCTGCACTTCTTATAGGCCTGTCTGCATAAAATATATAAACATCGTTTTTATGACAGCAAAAACGTAATTATATGGATCTTCGATACACGCTGAAATTTAGCATTAGCAGAAACTTTTAGCTGTTGTTGGGTTGATTGCAAAGTTTTAGATTAAATTAGTTTGGTGATAAAGAAAACGTTTCCTTTTGGGTTTCATAGCATTATCTCTGAGCATGTGTGTGCGTGCGCACGTGTGTGTGTGTGTGTGTGTGTGTGTGTGTGTGTGTGTGTGTGTGTGTGTGT